GTTTATATATATATATATATATATATATATATATATATATATATATTTCACCAGGTTTATTTTTTTTCACAAGTCGTTCGATTCACTGGATTGATTTGTGTATCATCAAAATTCATTTCAGATCACAGACTTCGGTTTTGCTAAGCGTGTGAAAGGACGCACTTGGACTCTTTGTGGCACTCCGGAATATTTGGCCCCGGAAATTATTTTGAGCAAGGTCCGTTTGTTCAAACAGTTTAATATTTTGTCTAGACACAGTGTTTGATTGGATAGCTTTTGCCTCATCCTATTATCGTTCCATTATTTACACTCATTTTATTTCAGTTTTGTACAACCATTAGGCTAGCTCGTCCATGCCATCATATTGGTTAATATCTATCGTTTATCTGTCCAGTCAGTTAGCATTGGAGTAAACAAAAGGCTGGTACATTGTTACCATAAAAAGATTAAGTTATAAATAGATGCATGAACGGCGCGCAATTTACGTTACCCATCCAATCCCCAACACCGAGTCTACCTCAACCCCAGATGACCCAAACTAGGAAACCTTACACGGTCAAAATGACCATGTTTTCTGGTGGTTTTCTTGTCGACATGCCTTATTCAGGCTTGACTTGCTTTGACTCGCTCTCTCAACAAAACCTCGCCTCGGTAAACATCGCACATCGAGTAAGTCCATCCGATGGCATTCCTCGAACATAACCCGATCACAACGATCAATGCCTGTCTGCCATCGGGAATAGCAAACATCTCTCCATCTATCCTTATTCACACTCTACTTGTCTGATTATCATCGTTTCTCAAATTTGTGCAACGATGTAAGCCGCGATTTTTGAACATACCAAATTAGTATTTATCTTTCATATCCCGTACCGTACTGATTGTACTGCCGCGGCATACAACCGATCCTTTTGAGACGATCAGATGTCTCGTCGATAATATTGATCTCTAAATTAATTGACCGCCAAACTCAACCAGCCTCCATATGCATGACAACGCTTTAGGTGATATTCGTTTGCGAGAGATGTGATTGTGCAACTAACGAATTCCATCTTATTTGCCCATTGTCTCCAAGAAAAGAGTGAGACTACTGGCAATTTGAAAGCTCAGATGGATCAAAAAAGTGTTGATACGGTTCACTTTCTATTGCGTTCAAAAATCGTGTATGCAGAAACAAACTGTTTTTATCTTACAGACGGCGCTTAGGATCATCCTTCCGAATACTGATCACCAGAAACTAGAAAAATGACCACGAAGAAATAATAATGACTGATATATGTGAGATTGGGGCCTATCTAGAACAGTCTGAAGGTTTGTCATCCTATTCGGGATGCCAGTTCATTAAAAGGGCGGTTTAGTAGCTGACATCTGCATGCTTTGAACCGCATGGTCCGAGGTTAGAGTCCCGCTACCGTCACCTGACTCTGGTGATAGCAGCTTTGCCGTCGTTCAATATCACGCTTAACCTAGGGGGGAGGCCTTATGTAGTTCACCAGTGTTAGTTCCGGGACTCAGGTTACCGGTTGCCATCTCTAAACAACAGATCTTCGTAATGTGGTGGTTCGCCTGTTTGTTGTTCATCACATAATTGTGTGTACTGAAAAGAGGTGAAATGAGTATCTATATAAAACCGCTTATCGATAAACTGGGTCTGCTTCAGCACGAAATCTACGAGCGTCGATCGCAGAAAGCTATGCTTTTTTTCTCTGTATGAAATTCAAATTGATCAAAGTTTATCAGAATCAGTGCCATTGTTTATGGTATTTGAAGGTTCTGTGTTGCTGGGAATTCCAGTTGCCCTTACATAGATAGCTCCCAGTCTCCGGTTGACCCTCTCATTGTTCCCACTGTAGTTTTTCCTTCAGACACCGAGATACATCTGACCAATCATTGACTGTCACTTTTACTTTTCTTTTCAGGGCTACAATAAGGCGGTCGATTGGTGGGCCCTCGGTGTACTTATCTACGAAATGGCTGCTGGTTATCCTCCATTCTTTGCTGATCAACCAATCCAGATATACGAAAAGATAGTTTCGGGGAAAGTGAGTTTCATCCAGAAATGAAAACTAGTAGTAGTATTTTGTACTATAAATCGAAGGCTTTCGTTTTGCAAATTTCGTCTTTGTAAACATTTCCGGAATTCGTTTAGACCCGTGGATTTCGGGTGGTCGATCAATTTTATCACTGGTTACGCCGAACTTGTTTTTCACCACAACCTAGACCCATGTGGTTCTTGGTTTGGAAACTGATTATATGCATATGCATGCTTTTGAAGCTCTTATGCAAAGAAATACCGCGGAAGTATGTAACCCTATTGCGGTCGATGTACCTGCATACTTCTGGTAGCGTAAGGGTCTATGGTGAGCTAAATAAATCGTTAGAAACCAGGAGTGGTGTTCGTCAAAAGTGCCCTATTTCGCCATTCCTGTTGAATTTCGAGGTAGTTGCCGCTCCACGTTGGAACAAACCGCGTGGAGTCGAGGCCTGGAAAATCGGTGTCTTCCGTTTTCCAGGTTTGGGTCCAAAAGACTGCAACTGGCTGATTGGAGACACTGAAGGATATGGGGACTAACCGACAGCAGCGGCGTTCTTGTTGCCATTTCTTATCAGATCAGAGTGCTTGAAAAAGTATGTCTGCACACTTGGATTGTGTACTCTGTGTTAACCATAGAGGTCCACTTCATTTGCCTCTCTTCATCTTGTACTTTACCACTTGCTTTGTGCACATTTTGAGCTTGGCAGCGATCAGTGAATTTCGCTTCACTATATCTCGCTGTAGGACGATGACGATGAAAGCAAGGTGCTAACGCAACAAAAAGAACGGGGTTCGGATACAAAACTGATATGGTGGGTAACAACAATAAAATCTTTTGTTTGTTTCAAGATACACCTTTGGAAAGTTTTTGCTTTAGTTTATTGTTTTTATTTATGGGGCACGGGATTTCAACAGGCGTACAGCACAGCATTCGCGCCACTGACTTTTATTCTAGACCATATCCCCTAGTGTCTCTAACCAACGACATTCCTCATCTTTCGGGCCACAACCTGGATGGCGGGCTGCACCAAAGTTGAATCTAGTCTCTTCATACTTCTATGCCATGTCCTGCTCTAACCAGCGCTTCTTTCAGCACGTGCCAACAGTGCACGGAAAGGTGGTCGATGTGCAAGCAAACACTAAACGTGACTGAACCATCGGAAAGCGTTTATTGCTTCTAGAAAACGACTGTACGCACCCAACACCGAACAACGGACCTCGTCATTGTTCACCCGATACTCCAATCAGACATGGGCAATACTTCAGAAATATTGGTCCAGTCCTCAACGCTTAGGGGTCAAGTCTCGCAACCGTAGAGTAATCGTAAAATTTCACAGTTATGCCGGCATGTTTCGCTCACACGCACAATCTCAGTTAACTATTTTCTCGTGAGCTTTGTAACTCTACTCTTCGTGGAGAATGATGGGTCCGTTTTCTTCTTTTCAGGTACGTTTTCCATCACATTTTAGTTCCGATTTGAAAGATTTGCTGCGCAATTTGCTCCAAGTGGATCTTACCAAACGCTTTGGCAACTTAAAGAACGGTGTGAACGATATCAAAACGCACAAATGGTTCTCGACCACTGATTGGATTGCAACTTACAAACGTGAGGTAAGACACCGACGCAGATAGTTGGATTTTCCAACGGCCAAATATCATATTTCTGTCGTGCCGCCTAAGCGAACACATTCGTTCTGGGTCGTGATTCGTGCCTGCGGTAGTGGCGGTGGTGATGTGATCACCGTTGGACAGTAGTTACGAACGTACCAGTCCTGCCATCAAATAGTCAAATTCCATCACTTGTCAATAGAAGTATGTCAAATAAACTGAGCTAAACGCATGATTGGCTCCTGGTTGTCTACTAGTATTATGAACTCTAGTCCTTTCTTTTTTCACATAGACTCATTCCGATTGTCTGATTTCTCCGATGATGCACACGCTGATCTTACATCAGCGCTTGATAGTTTGTTGCTGGTCATTGCAAGATTTTAACCGTAATCAGTAAGATTGTATCAGGTGGCTCAAACAATCTGATAACCGGAAAACCTAGTGGTCGGTTAAAACGTCTCCCGGAGTATCTCTCAGACATCATGAGTATACACTGTAACAAGCCTTTCCCGAGATTAATTTGAAAAGAAAAGACCATATTGCAATACTGCACGATTTATGTCCAGGACGATTTCGCTGCATCTCAACATGGTGCATACTGCAGAAAATACAATGTTTATATAGGGTTTTAGCATAGCAACAGAGTGAGGCAAAATACATTAAAAAAACAGACAAAACATAAAAGAGGAAGGGGTAAAAGGACCATATCACCAGGGTAGGGAGAGACTAACATACAGTTCTTTTTGCTGGCACAGGGGGGGGCTTCCATCGATTAATCGCAATTGCTTCAGCAAACCTTAGCAATCTTGCGACTTGTGACTTGTAGACAATTTTAAACGCTGTGCTTCGGTCGACGTGGTGTTGCGTCATCAGCAGATGTCGAGCAATGGCTGAGGACGGAGTTTTGTAGTTTCGACCGTCGTTTCTATGCGGCGGACTTGACCTCAATTGGGTCAGCTGATTTTGTACCCAATTTGGAATATGTTCCACCACCCGATTGCGTAATTGTCGCTCTGTTCGGCCCACATAGGTCGCTCCGCAACCACATTGGAATTGGTAGATTAGATTAGAGTTGGCGTTCAGAGGCAGACGTTCT